CCCCCCCCAAACCCCCCTTGCAGAAAATTGCAATTTTAACCATTTTAACAAAGTTTACCTGAAAAGAATGGATCCGTTAATGAGGACAGATCAATAATCAATAACAGATGATTCTCATCAACAATTTTAATAATGATGTAATGTCTGATAGAAACCTGTCAAGTCACATGGCACGTCCTGTCATGTGACCACTGTGTGTGCATGTTCTTGTGTCACAGTTGACTCCTCAGTTTAGGCTCCTCCCCCAAAAGAAAAAAAAAAGAATCAGGCAGCAGCTACAGAACAACTGATTTAACAATAATCAATGAATAAATGATCCATGCTGATCAGATGGAACTGGTCCTGCCAAAATAAAATGTCTTTACAAAACTGTTTTTATTCCTGACTGTTTGTTTGAGGAGCTGAGGAGGAGGAGGAGGAGCGAGGAGGAGAAAAGATCTCAGTCAGAGTTGTCTGTTTAATGCCTCTCCTGGACGAAAAGGACGAGGACCAGGTCTTCAAGGCTTTCATGGAGGAAGCAGAATGAGGCGAGGAGGAGGTGCTAGTGGCGGTTTTGGAGGCAGATTTGCGGGAGCCTCTTCCAGGTGTGTTAGAAAACCCCGCCCCCTCTGCCGCCCCTCTCTGGTGGCGCAGCAGGTAGGCGTCAGAGGATCCTTTTCTCCTGTCAGTGGCTCTTTGTCTCTCTTCCTGATCAAGCTCCTTCTGCAGGAGCAGAGCCAGTCGGCGGTCCTCCTCCTCCTGCTGCTGCCTCACTTGAAGCTCCGCCTCCCAATCAGTCACAAGCCCCGCCTCCTGAGAAGAGGAAGATGAGGACAGCGGGGCTCGTTTGGTGGTGGACTCTTGTTCTTCGGCTGTTTCCAGCTCAGAGCTCTTCCTCTTTGCAGATGAAGATCTGATCAGCTGAATATCAGTCTGTGGGCATGGTCTATCAACTTGAAGCTCCGCCTCCAGGAGGAGGATGTTCTCCTGAGACAGGAAGTGAAAGAAGTTACATTGTCACTGTGTGTCAACTGTTAATAGTTCTGTTAAAACTCATACTAACCTTGTTGAAGACGAAGTTGGAGGAGGCGACTGGCTGAGCCGCACGAGGACACAGGAACCTGAGATAAACAAACAAACAAACATCAAATAACCCAACAAAAAATAAACTCAGCAAACATGTCACTTCCCATAAAAAAAGAATGTGACATTAAATTTATGCTGGTTCAGTTAATCCAGACCAGGCTGTCCGGTTCAGACCTGTCGATGTTTCCCATGGTGACCTCCTTCTTCTTGACTGGCGTGACGTCGGAGACACGACGGACTTCCTGAGAGTTCTGTGAAAAAATGAGGAGTTAAAGTAACCGATAAAATCAGATGGTAACATCATCATGACATCATCATGGTGCCGACCAGCTGGCTGCTGAGCTGCCGGGCCAGCTGCTCGTCCTCGTTCTTCCTCCTCCTCTCCTCTTGCAGCAGCTCCTCTTCCTCAGTCAGCAGCCTCTGGATCAGCTCCTCACTGGCTCGCTTCTGCTCTTCGTCCCGAGCCCGCCGCTCCTCCATCAGCTGAGGGACATGACAACATGTGACCTCATCATCACTACCAACACTTTGGTTATTTTAAACACGACAGCCTTTTTCAAAAACAGCTAAAGCAAACTGAAAGAAGTTTGGAAACAAACGTTCAAAATTAAAAAACAAATAAACAATCTGGATCTGGATCCACTTAGGGTTTAGGGTTCACTGAGACGCACCTGGACGTTTCACTGAGACGCACCTGGACTGTTTCACTGAGACGTACCTGGACCGTTTCACGGAGACGCACCTGGACGTTTCACTGAGACGTACCTGGACCGTTTCAC